AGGCGGTTCCTAGTGTTCTTCAGATTCTTCATGTGCATTAGGCTTGAGTTTGCCATGGAGATCCACATACAGCTTTCCATGGAGAGTGGCTGGTCAAGTTCTACAGTGTCATCGTCTAATTCTTGGACTGAGTAATTGGGAAACCAGTTTCGGACGTCAACTTCTTCATCGGGATCAATCAACAAACACATCTGCAATTGGTTTCGACTATGGTTGTAGGCTTCGGTTACAAACTCGCGATGTATGAACTGGACGAAAGTCGAGTAATCTAGGAGTAAAACACAAAGGGCGGAGACAATAAACATTTTCGATATAATGACAATGCTGTAGGGACGGTTAAATTTGGATTTTAAATTTGGATTTTCGGTTGATAGGGCAGCCTGTGGCATCTACTTTGGGCATGTTGTAAAAGTCCTTCCTTCCTGTCCGGCAATACCAATAAAATTTAGGGAGGTCTTCAAGCTTCATTGATACTTAGTTCGCGTCGGGGCTTTATGTCTTTGGCACAGGACCGGGCGAGGATAAGGAAGTCTTTATCCGATGGCGGGGCTAACACTAGAATAAATTGGCGCGGTTACCTGATGACTACATGGCTACATGGCTATGCTATGGCTACATGGCTACATGGCTACATAGTACATGGCTACATGGCTACATGGCTACATGGCTAGGGCTATGCTATGGCTAGGCTATGGCTATGCTAATAAATGCTAATGAATGCAAGGTTGGTAAGGAGCTCAATCGCCGCTGGGCTGGATAAAAGAAGGGGATAGAAGGATATTGAATAGATTGTAGGGGCCTGGTCCACCTAGCATGGGACGCTCATTTGCCGCGGAGCTATTGGGACGCTCATTTGCCGCGGGGCTATTGGAAAGCTAGGGATTTCAGCTGTACTGAAGGGGGAACCACCCCTAATTCTTTTTTGTTCCTTAAATAAAAAGGGAAATCTTCAATTAAGGGCGGTTCACTCCGCTTAAGTCTTTAAACGGTTTACTATAGAGAAAAGAGTAGGGTGGACCGAGGACCGAGGTGGGGTAATAATGGATTTTGCCACATCGGTCCACTTCATTAGTGATAGTGTTATGTTGGGGGAACCGCAACGAGGTGGTGTTTCACGTTGAATAATTACACTCAAGCCGACCTGGACCGACTTTCAACATCACACTAATCAAGCATGGACGAAGTTGTGGAGAGTTTGATATGGAAGAATATTGAAAGGGGGGGACAATGGCATAGAATGGAGTGCGATCAAGAGGAAGTGTGTGATAGTTGGATTGTAATGTGTAAAGGTCTAATCAGTTCCTTTCCGAATGAGTATCGTTGTGTGGATGGTGGATATCAAGAATATATTTCATGGGAAGGACAGGCATTTTGCGATATCGAGGAGGCTTTAAAAGCGATACACCTAGACAATCACTGCTCACATGATTTGGGGATGCCTTTATGTACTCTCAGCAGATTGGAACCTTTTGGGAGGCTGTTGATGCAGCAAACGGATGCAACAAGGTTGTTAAGAGGGTTTGTTACCGAGAGGTCTTGGATTTGATGAATCAGCAGATTGGAACCTACGGACAGGGTTATCTCCCGCGTGAACTCAAGAAGGCCATGAACGAAATTGAGGGGTACCTCAACGTCGAGTTGACTGTTTGGGTCTAGAGTCCCATGGTGGGAGAAGAGAGTTGTTGTTGTGGCTGCCACAGTTGAGGAGAAGGAGGAGAAGGAGGAGTACGGATAAATACCTAATACAATAAAAAATTTATATTTGCTTGGTTGCTTAGACCTGGTAGATCTTGTGCGAGACCATATGTTCGATGAAGTCGTAGGGAGTGTTAGGTGGGAGGGGACGGTACCAGGACTTGGTCTTGTCACTAAGGAGTGTTTCATTGAAGCGAATGATAGAGAGAGATAGAGGTGTAGTGACATTGAACGACTTTCCCTGGGCTTTGACACTGGGAGCACTCAACAGGGCGGTCTTGACGCGGTCCATGACAATCTCGGCTTCTTCCATTGTTGGTTTAGTGGAGGGGAAGGTGTCTAGGAACCGGACCATGACCCTGATGGCGGCCTTGATCTTGCGGTATCTACACGCCATCCGGTTGTCTACCTTTGGCGTAGACTTGTAGGATCCCATGAAGCAAGTTGAATGCAAAGAAATTAACAAACAGAACCCTGGGATCGATATTTCTTGTAACCAGATCAAGGAGTGATTGGAGGGGCTGGACTCCTAGTTCACGCTGCAACGGGGAGAGGGAGTACTCTTCACTTGGTTTGGTTGCAGGTGGCGACGCAGAAGAGGTTGGGATGGCGACCGCCTTGTCGATGAGGTTGCCTTTGGTGAAGCATTCTACGCCTTGCGACTTGAAGTTGTTGAAGTCAGCTGGACTAATATCTTGTCATGCAAGGCGCTGCATGAGAGTAGCAACGAGGATGTGATTCTTTGGGTCATTAATTAAATAGGCCGTTGGGCTCTGCCTGGATGTGCTGTACAAGTTGGTCCCATTTGGATAGAACGCACATCAGAAACATCTGCTTGGCTTGCATGCAGAGCATATCATCGGGGATGTGACCGAAGAAGGCGTTCAAGACCTTGTCACCAAAGGTGGTTGCATAGTATGAAGGAATGGTGACGCGCTGATAATCACCGTTGCTGGCCTTAGACCAGCCTGCAAGGGCTTTTGCACCGTCGAGGAGGTAGGGAAAGGGATTTGAAAAGTATTCTGCACGAGCCCCTTCTCCAATATTCCAGCCACTAAAAAGCTGAGCAGCAATGTGGAGCTTGTTCCCATCTAGGTGCCATTGAGCCGTGTGTTTGCCAAAGTGTGATGTGCCTTTTCGTACAGCGGTGTTCTCGGCCGGAGGATACCTCTTCCAGATAGAGTTGAGGGTGCTTGTGTAGTGGGCACTTACGTCTCCAGTCAAAGCTGCAATAGATGGCATCAGAGCTTTGTCATTACGGAGGAACAAAGCCAGACCAATCGCAACGGGAAGGTCACCGAAAAAATCGTACTTGTTTGGAATTAGGGGGTGGTTGTTGTCAACACCCATCTTGTCGCGAACAATAAAACATTGAAGGATTTGATTTAGGGGTCCTTCATAAACCTCTCTAACAGAAAGGTTCTGCACGGAGAGCCGAGAGGTTTCAGTGGCTCTGCTACAAAGTCGGAGGGTGGCTGTCTGGAAGAGAAAGAAATCCAGAAAAGCCTCTGTATTGAACCAGAGGCAACGGATGAGGATGAAGGTGATCTCGGCGTTGGTGTAAACTTTGTTCTTGGTGATGGGTGATTCTTTCTTCCGGTCCTTGACTTTTGCTTTCAAGGAGCTGAAGGCTGAGGCGTAGGTTTCTTCAATAACTTTCAGGTAGCGTGACAGCATGAACTTCTTTGTCAATTGGTTCTTGATAAACGGCATGTAACATTCCAGGGTGCCTACTGCATAGGCGCTTCCATTGGCTTTTTTTAGACTAAACCAAAAGGCTGGTTGGTCTTTCCAGAACAAGAACCACCACTTTGTTATATCGTCATCGTTGGTTGAAAAAGCGCCGCCTGTCTCAGTGAGATCTTCCTAGTCGATGCTGGGCAGACCGAGTTGGAGCTGGAGGTTGGTCAAGTAGGGTTGGATCTTAGAGGCGGTGCTGTTGTGCTTTGACTGACATGACTTGGAAGCCGAAGCGTAGAAGTCAACATGAACTTCTTCAAGCGACGATCCTTGAGAGGATTCCATGGTCAAGGCAGATCGAGGGGAGGGGCGTCCTTTACTAGTCTCGAAAAAAAGTTGGAATTGTGAGGAGTTGCACTCCTTGGAAGGGGGCTGCTGGGGTGGACCGAGGACCGAGGTGGATAGAGGTTGTCAATTATACGGTGACAGGCTGTTCAGTGGGTGGGGTTTGACGATTTGGCAGCTACGATTGCTAAGGAGTGGAATCAGAACTTTTGAAACCGTTGCATTCCGTGTTATTAGAGGGACGGTTTAAGGTTTATAACTGTTGATTTGGTTTCAGAAAATGGCGCGAACTGCGTCAGATTCACCGAAGTCCGTCTTATGAAGAACTTTCCTATTTCCTATTCCGGTGAAACCAAAATATAGGGATAGAGATAGTCGTAAGCCAACAAAACTGGAAATTGAAGGTTCTACAAATTTAGGGGTAGGAATAAATCATGATCATTCAAGGTTAGTGCACTCAACACAATAAGCCAGCAGAAGCTACAAAAGTTGGAGGTACATACGGGAGTGACAGCTGTAAAATTATGGTTATCGGGCGGCAACACACGACGAAGTCGGGTGTTGTCGCCAGGGCTAGCCAAAATAAAAAAGAAGATTACAATGAGGGAATGATACCGGGCGGCAACACACGACGAAGTTAGGTGTTGTCGCCAGGGCTAGCTTGAAAGAAAAGTGCAATCTCAAACATGTCATTCTTCTTCTATTTGTCTTTCTGCCGAGGTATCGCAGCTCCCGCTGACTTATTACTATTCCGGTGAAGCCAAAATATAGGGATAGAGATAGTCATAAGCCAACCAAACTGAAAATCGAAGGTTCTACAAATTTAGGGGTAGGAATAAATCATGATTATTCAAGGTTAGTGCACTCAACACAATAAGCCAGCAGAAGCTACAAAAGTTACAGGTCCATACAGGAGTGACAGCTGTAAAATTATGGTTGGCGGGCGGCAACACACGACTAAATAAAAAAGAAGGTTACAACGAGGGAATGATACCGGGCGGCAACCCACGACGAAGTCGGGTGTTGTCGCCAGGGCTATCTTGAAAGAAAGGTGCAATCTCAAACATGATCCTCCTTCTTCTATTTGTCTTTCTGCCGAGGTATCGCAGCTCCCGCTGACTTAAAAGCCTAAACAAACTCTAGCTAAAACTGTCCCGAATTCCAAAACATATTTCAAATCAGTAAATGGTTGTTGAAACAGGACTGAAAATGCAAAACCCCAAAACTGCCAGAACTAGTGCAAACCTTTTCTTTTTTGTGAAACCATCCAAAAACCCACCATTTCCGACTTTTGGCCGTTTCCGCTAAACTGACTGAACATCCGTGAATAAATAAGTCCCGTTTTGGGACGTTCTTTCACGACGGCGTGAGAACACTCAACTTGACGCTCTTGACTCGATGGAGTCAAAGCGGAAAACCAAAGACAACAGAACTCTTTTCTCGTTCCCAAAGAGGAACCACTCTCGAGGGGTTGGCCTGATTTTCTTCTGCCAGCGCCATCCTCATCATTATTCTAGGATAGACACGGTGGTTAGACGAGAAGGTAGGTACGAGTAGAATGTTGCTCTTGCCCGGCTTCTTCGACCATTGTTTCTTGTTTCGACTTCTGTGTTGCCAATTCTTGCAAGTTGAAGTTGAAGTATGTTACCATTAACCTTACTGTGTTTCTCACTTTCGTCCAGTCTCTTGCACGAATGCTCCAGTCCCTTGCATGTTGAAGTTTTCTCCCTGCAGCTGGTGCATGGATCGACACATTCAACTTCGACTGCTACCCCTCACTTGATCGACCGTTTTTGGTTGCTTTTGTCGCTTTGTTCTGTTGTGGTTCGTCGGCGCCGCCGCCAAGGAGCTAGCACGCTAGCTAGGCGCTTGGACGTCTTTCTCAGTTTCAGAGGGAGAAGCAGCTGTGGAAACGGAGGCTCATTCCCGGCGTGGCTCTCTCTGTTGGTGGTCATTGGCAAGCACGTCGACGATCTGCCATGATGAAGAGTGAGAACGAGTCGGGCATTGCTGGAACTGCAAACGGGCAGAGTGCCAGAACGGAGCCAGGCCAATGCCCGCATGAATCCAAGCCTCAAACTCCTGCTGGCCCTTCTGATGCTCAAGTTCCCTTCTTGGCAGGCGAAACAGCGGCAGCAACGACTCCTTCGTCTGAATCTGCTTTGGGCCCAGGGTTTCCCTCCGAACCACTGTCATCATCGATCGGTCAAACAGCCAATGCATCCATTCCATTCTTGCCGGGAGATGGAGGAGCTACCAACGCGACAACTACCACCAGGTACTTCGATACCCTTCGGATACCTGATGGAAACGGTCAAAGACAAACCCAACAAGTTGCACCCAACGGATCTGGATCTGCCAGTTCTGTCAAGCAAAGTATAGAAATGCCGTCGTCGTACAGTCTCGTTGAAAAATCGCTAGCAGGCCAGCCAAAGGTCCAAGTTCCAGCTGCCCCCCATGTTTCGCTGTCGGGCACGTCAATGCTCTCAACTGTGGCTTCACAAAGACCCCTTCTGACTATTGGAAATGCATCCTCCTCATCTGGAGTTCGTGCAACTCCAAAAACGGTACGTACCAAGTTGACGCTAGGTTCAAGGCCATGCAGTGGATAGTGCAAGTCAGGGCTGACCGTTCGTCCCAATCTTGCAGCAGCGACCATTGCCAGCCAGCGCGGGACACACAGCATCCAAAGTAGCTATCCCCACAAGTGCTGCACACGTAGCTCAGCCTGCCAGCAAAGTCAAAACGGGCACCTCCCTTCGTCGTGGAAAGTGGACAGTCGAGGAGGAGGCATATGTAGCCAGGGTGATTCAAGATTTCAACTCTGGCTTCTTGAATGCTCCGGCAGGGACCACATTGCGCAGTTACTTGTCTGAAAAACTGCAATGTGACCCCATGAGAATCACAAAGAAGTTTACGGGGGATGCATGTATTGGGAAACGAGTGTTTCATCCTGCCGTTCGAAATCTTAGCAATGCTGCAGCAATAGATAAGGCTCAGGTAAGAAGGAGAATCCTCAGTCTGAGATTCTCCGCTTCGTTGGTATGACTGCTTATTGTATCAAACAAGGCCTTCTCTCAACCTTGCATGCTTGTCTTAGGCCGAGCTTGACGCTTTGGAACGACGGTGGAGGCGACGGCTTGAAATGCAGCAACGAGAGTCTGCAAAGAAGGCCGCTGCATCGGCGGCTGCGGCGGCGGCAGCATCAGGTCGAAATCATGGCTTTGTCACGAATGGAGCTCTAGGCAGTGGCCTTGTGGGGGCTCCAACAACTGGAGTCAACGGAGGGGCCCTTGGCGCACAAGCCACTGCTCCTGCCATTGGAGTAACACAAACAGCCTCATGGCTCGATCGCGCCTCCAACATTCTGAAAGAAACTGGGTCTCGACAAACGGGGGTATCAGTTCCTTGTTCCAAGCAAAAGTTCTCGCTCACTCAGGAACAAGCGCAAGCGCTCCAGTCTCTTCCGCGGAAAGAAATTGAAATGCAAATGAAGGAAGTTGAGAGGCTGATCCATGAAGGCCCCATCATCCAGCAAACAAGCGCTGGACTCCCGCTTGTCTTACACCAATCTGCCGCGGAAGCTGCTGTACCGCCCCCACCAGTTCCGAAAACCATCGTTGCGAATGCTGCAGGATGTTCAGCTGACTCTGATGGGCAGCAAACCCCACCCGAACCCGCCGACAAGCGAATGCGCACTGGAGCAGAAGATGCAGAAGCCCTTGTTGGGTTCTTGACCGCGGTTCGGGCATCAGCAGCAGCCGGGACAGATTCCTTCTCTGGTTGACTTGATTCAGATCCGGACACATCCGACAGCCCCAAGCTTTATCGCCATTTGGCAAAATGCAAAATGATCTGCTACGCATGTACCATAGGAGACGGCTCTTGAGAAATCTATGAGCAATACAGAAAGAGGATTCCATTATTCAGAGGCAAAAATCTAAGAGTAAACTAGCACAGCTCTCACGGGAAGAGCAATTTTGGAACCTGAATATCACTGATCACAGAGCATGATATAAGTCTTTGGACAAGACACCAGGAACAAGTATTGCAAAAGGGATGTAATATCCAAAGGACAGGCGCTAACATGACTTCGAGGAAGCGAACACAAAAGACACGGTTTCAGTGGTTCGTCGATTAGTGCTTACGCTTGCGTTTGTGCTTCTTATCGTCTCGGTGGTGAGAGCGGCTCTTGTGTTTGCCGCGTTTCGCTTCTACGACTTCATAGTCATCGGCATCTCGTCCGTCACCACCCAGAGAATCATGATTCTGCCTTCGACATTTAAAGGCTGTACCGAGCCAGGCACGTTGATTGTTGCCACCTTTCTCTTCTTCATCATCACTATCGAGAACCTGACCGTGATAAGTTGGGGCTTCTACAGCAGTGTCATTCGCACGACGATTATCCTGTTTGTCATTGGCCTGTTGGGCCCGACGAGCCATGCGGGCTGCTAACGAATTGCTGCTCTCCTCCTCCACCATTGCTGTGCGATGACTTGCGTTCTTCCACTTTTTGCTGCACCGTCGACCGAAAGGACGTGAGCTTGGAGAGTGTTTCTTCTTCTCTGTCCTTTTTACTTTTCTTGCCCTTGGAATATTTGAGGCGACATGCTTCTACCAAGCTCACCTTTGGCTTTGACAACACCTCCTTGGGCTTTTTGTGTTTCCTGCCATCTTTGTCCCTATCCTCCCCTTTAAGCTCCCCAGTGTCATTTGATGTAGCCTCTTGCCGATTTCGTCGTGACGAGAATTTCATGGATGGTTCTTCCGCTGTGTCATTGTGCGCAGTGGGAACTGTTGGCTCCTCATCACCATCAGCCTCGACCCTTTGTTTCTTTTTGAGAGTTTTGTTGTCAGTGTCTGATACTGTTTCTTTGGACTCCTCCTCATGTACCCTATTCTTGACTTTGCCGTCTACGTGTTTCCCCAGCACTTTGCTCTCCACAACATCATGACTGCTCTGCATCCCCTTTGTTGCCTTGCTGGCTGGCATTCCTCCACCCCCTTCTTCATCTAGTTCCGCTCCAAAGGAGAGCACATTAGTGTTAAACTTTCCCTTGCGCTTCTTCTTCTTCTTTTTGGGTTTGGTTTCTTCTTCGACAGTTTTTTTGACTCTCCAGGGAACGGATGGTTGTGGTACCAAATCCTGATGAATTGGATTTTCCAAAATCTTGACGGCTTGAATACGAGTTGCATTTTGGAGATCCACCGGTTGATTGGTGGTTTCGTCTGTCACTTGTCTCCCTATTCTCATGGCATTGAAAATGGTGGGCCCACTAATGGTGCCAAAGACGATGTGTTTACTGTCCAAGTAGGGTGCATCTTCCAAAATGATAAAAAACTGGGGTTGCAAATCTTCGGCGCCCTTGGATGAGTCATCGACCCCCAACGCCATGGCCACTTGTCCACGATGATTGAATTTGATCCGAGAATTGACTTCGTAGGATCGTCGCTCCATTGCCTCGGAAGCTCCAACGGCTTGCCGATATCCAGCAGCTTCTGGATTGCTCATGGAAAAGGACTTGTCAACAGAAGAGGATTCATGCCGCAGTGCTCCAGTTTGAATCAAAAAGTTTCGTACGATCCGATGAAACATCATGTCCTGGTAAAAGCCGTCCAGACACAGCTGCAAAAACAACCGTGTCGTTTGTGGGCATTCACAACACCATAGAAATATTTCCAAAGGACCGTCGGTCGTCTCAAATATCACACGGCCTGCCACTGCAGGTTCAGTAGCATACACCCTGCTCATTGTTGCAATGTAGTACGGTAGTGCCTAATAAATAAGGATGCTCCTTCAGGTTGTGGCTGTCATCTCCCAAAGTGCTCTACGGCATTAACAGCCACCGCTACCTCGACAGCTACCTCTACCCATGCACAAGATGCGGCAGGCGCTTTGCAGGCTACAACAAGGAATCAATGAAGCTGGATGCAAGCGTTTACCATGGCTACTTTAACTTCTATCTTGGAACAGGATACGCAGTGGACGATGACCTTTACCGATTCATAATTGAGGAGTCAGCGAACGAGGCCACCGCAACCATCCACCGAAGGCTGAAGAGAATGGGGCACGATCAATATCTGGAGGATTAACAGCTGTATTTGACTGCGGTTGGAGTCAAGAAGATCCGCCCCAAGAAGAAAACCAAAACAATGGATTCTTATTTGACCGCTGCTCCAGCCAACCCTGAAATTGCGCGATTGCTCCACAGGAGGAACAACAACAGCACCCGCATGAATCGCCTCAGAGCAGAAGTCTTGACTCTGGAACGGAAAAGAAAGGCAGATTGTGGGTTCAAATCAATGTTGGGGGATAAGGACGACCACAACATTCATGGTGAAAGAAACTTTCTGCCTGGACTTGGCGGCACCAAACTTCGTCGTCATATTGCTTTGGGGGTGAATTCAATGCATGAACTGCTTGGTGTGGATGTTGAAGATGACCGGTTCCATGACATTGCGCACTTGTTGCCCCGCTGGCAGTACATCGTGCTTGAATATCTGGAAGACATTGACAAGAAGCTTTCCGTCCTGGAGACTGAGTTGGGTGATGCCATCGAAGAATACCATCAGTCTGTTGAAGAGGTGTTGAATGCTCCTGGTCATGTGGAAGAGAATCCTGTCCTTGAAGATGACAGCGAGGAAGGCAATCGTCCACCACTATTTTCGAGTTTTGAGGAGAAGAATGGTTACAACGGGAAAGTACTTTCTAAGTACCGCATTGACTCGATTGTGACCACTGTCTTCAATCACCGCAAGGATTTCATCATCGCTAAGATGCAAGGATTGAATGCATCCGTGGTCAAGATTGATTTCAACTACAAGCTGGCCTCGAAGATACATGTATGGACGAAGCAAGGGACAAGCTTTGCTCCATTCAAGTGTCTCATTACAATTCAGAATGAGGATGGGCTGACAATATTCTGGAAGGCTTTGAAGCACTCTGAATCATTTCGGGAGATAATGCCTGACCTGTTGAAGCTGCGACGACGGATGAATCACAACTTGGCAATGAAGAAACGTGCAGCAAAGAAGAAATACTTGGAAGCCCGAGCTGCTATGGAGGCAGAGCTACTCAACAGGGAACCCACTCCAGTTGCCGAAATTCCTACAACTGCTGGACCTGTCGAACAGAGCATCAAAGTGGTATACGTCGATAATTGTTGCAATGTGTGCAAGGTCCTGAAAGAAGCGTTTCCTGGTGTTGATGTGAAACTTGACATATTCCATTGGATGAAAAGATGGAATGATTTAATGGATGACTCTACTTCCGCCTTGGCTGGAGTGTTCCATGCCCTTCTTCGAAAAGCATTGTTTATTGTGGAGCCAAGCCACTTTGCTGATGTCGAGGCCAAGTTAGAGGCCAAGTTGAAGCGGAAGCCAAAAGTGGTTGAGGTTCTTCGGAAATGCAAGACCATGGTGCCAGATAGACCCACACTTCGCACTAATGTGGAAGCTGTTTACAACTACTGTGTTGCCAAGGATACGGATAAAGAAGTGCGACTGTCCACCATGGCTGAAGACAGTACGGAATCAAGACCAAAGCGATTCTTTAAACCGAGTACCCCGAAAACAAGGAAGGCAATCCAAGAACTCTTCGGACACATAGACAAGGGATGCTTGTCAGACCTGGACCACTCCATTGTCAACATCTACCGGTACAATCCAAGAACTGGTGTTACTTATGTTGCCCGCGGCACCAACACAAATGAAAGGGACAACCTTGACTTGGCCTATAGAATTCTAACAGCGACACATATTGGTAAGTTGAAGAGTGTATTGTGTGGATGCGTTCACTTGTGTTCTCACCAGTTGCTATTTCCCTCTGTGCAGGAACTCATAGAGCAGAACGTCTCATGTATTTGTTCTTCGAAAATAAGAATTATAGGAAAGCGATTCTCCGCCTTGGCACCAAGGATTATGGTACACCTCACACTGAGAAGCTTCTCATGTTGAACAATTATGCCTCAATGCTGGGTTATCCCAGCAAGAAATTGCCCTTTGCCGACATCTCAGCCCCCACTACCGCCCCAGTGAAAGAACACTTTGGTTTTGATTATGCCGCTGTGGCAACTGAAGATGTTTCAAACCCGGTTGAACCTTCTGTGGCCGTTCGCACTTATGAGACGCTAGGACCAAAACCTGACGAAAATGCTGACAATGAGGGATCTCAAGACACTGGAACATTGGAGGAGAACCAGCGTCTTAGCGAGGATCTTGTTGAAGTCATTGGTGACGATTTGGATGTGGAGGTTCTAGTGGATGAAAACGACGTGAACAAGATAGTAGACGCTACGGTGGCTATGCAGATTCGCCTGCTTGAGACAAATCACGATGCTCAACTGTCAGATCGCCAAAGACATCGAGAGTTTATTCAGACTGAGTTAGCACGTCTTATGCCCAATGAAACAAAAGCGAGGGAGAACACTGTACAGGCCTTTAAGCGGCTTGCTGACAACCAACCGTGGTTTCTTTTTCGGTCGCCAAACAGCTCCTCGCCAGAAACAGTGGAGGATCGCGAAGAAGCCGCTCTGTTCAAGGACTGGCTACACGAGCGACAGTACAGTTTGTGCGCATGAAGTGGACCTCACTCTTTTGCTTCTTTTGAGCGAGATTGGAACAATGAAGTTGCACGACAGTTCAAAGAGTGGAGCAGTGGAGATGACACCATTGTGCAAATTCGCTGCAAGAGCAAGGGTCAGCTTATGGACTACAGCAAGCAATGTCAAGAAACAGAGGCTCTTCAGGCAACATGCTAATGAGGCGTTTTCTCCCATGACTCAGAAGACCAGTGACTCGCCCCAGTCGGAGGTCAAGGAATAGAGTTCATGAGTACCGGAAGAGCGCGCATAGTCTGCGCAGCGTATTCCACACTGTGGTCCACGATGGATGCACCGTGGTCCCATTTAGCACTCATGTCTCGATCCTACCCGAGTCGAATAGGCGCCATGTTTGAACCAAAAGCCGATGCCGACTTGCGCTGTTCCGTTTCTATCAGTCCGAACCTTGACAACGAAACCCAATAGACTTGATAGATTGTAATGCTCATAATATTCTCTTTTACTGTTTGCCATTGCATGTCTTCCAAAGGTCTAGTCGAAGCTAACCATGCTACGACGCCAACCCAAGGAAGGGAGATTATCACTTACGAAATAGGAGCAGTTACGTCCCTACGCAACTGCGCAATCATGTCCGCCGCTGCCCGTCGAACCGCTGATCGCGACAAGCTCAAGCATGTCGTGACCGTCATGCTCAACAATGTCGAGACCAACTGGGAATCTCACGATGTCATGCTTGCCCTCACTCACTTTGGAGTCGATACTTTCTCAGACCTCATGATGATGGAATGCAAAGACATTGAGTCTCTGGTGGTTCCAGCCGATGGAGCCGCTGCAGAACGCCCTCTCAGATTCAGTCAACGGCGACAACTCCTTGCTGTGATTTGCTGCTTCTGTCGAGAGCAAACCAAATCCATCAACGTCACATCAATCAGTTTCGCTAACTTCCAACGATTCTGCATCGGACGATGGGATCCATCAGCGGAAGTGGTTCCGTGGCTCACGACATGAGCTCCTGTATCCACCGAAGCAGAGATTGAACACTGGAACAAGACGGTCAAGATCTCTCGCAGCGACTACAAGGAATTCCGTGATGAAGCGTACTGGCACAAGTGGAGTGAAGATTTTCTACTCACTGTAAAGTCTCACCGTTTGTCTCACCTACTCGAAAAAGGATACACGCCGGAGAACCCGTTGCTGGATCGCATCCAACGCGAATGGATGTACAAGACACTCTGTGACACGATTAAGACTGCAGCTAGAAAATCGTTCCTCACGCAACACCTCAAGGACAGCGAAACTCATCTATTCTGGGAAAAGATGTCCAATCACTACAAGACATCGATGACGGCGACCATTCGTTCCTCCAAGACCTCGACCTATCTGACTACTGCCAATTTATCAGACGGATCGTGGCGTGGAAGTCAACAGAACTTCATTCTGAACTTCAAAGAACAAGGTTGAATCTACAACGACACCTCTGTGCACGAGAAGTACTCCGATGGGCAACTCGTACAGTTCCTTGAGCAAGCTGTCTCTGGCGTCCCAAACCTATCCGGTGCACGACGCGTGGATATGCTTGCACGTGCCGCAGCCAAGAATGCGGACACATACACTTTTGAGGATTACACTGCAAGCCTACTCTCACTTGCAGCTATCTATGACGCAGCTCATTCTGGTACATCACGATCCAGAGGAAACTCACGACGAAGCTCATACAATCATGAGCTCATCTTTGACCAAGATGACGAGAACCATGGATACGAATCTCATGTACACGACTTTGACACAACCGTCGATGAACTACTTGAGGTCCATCAATCAGATCGTTCTCACAACTCTCCATTTGATCGTCCTTCACAAGGCCCTCGCAAAGTCATGATGAACGTGGCAACGTGGAAGTCTCTCACACCTACTGACCAGAAAGCGTGGGATACACTATCCGATGATGGCAAGAAGAAAATCTTGGAATACGCAGCTGATCGTGTAAAACGAAACACACAAACGAATCAATCTGGCTCACGCAATTTTGGATTCCGACGCGACACACGCTCAGCCAACGTCCATGACATAATCGAGGAGTCACGGATCTTTGAACCCGATCATGACGATAAGCCAGCCTTACAAGTTTCGTCTCACACCTTGGATGAAAAGAAGAACAAAGTATCTTCAGACACGGATCTTTTGCATCTTGCTACACATGTTGTCCAAGACTCAACTACGGTACCCGACCTTCTGTCAGGCAACATTGCTAATGTTCTATCTCAACCTTCGTCTCGCAGCCAACGTTTCCTTTAACAATGAAGTACGACACCATGAGCTTGACGAAATTGACCGATCGGCATACCAATCATACTCTCATGAGATGCACGCCGACGACATTGATGACGGATTCAAGACCGATAGTGAAGACGATGCTGCATCACAGCTATCCTTGAAGCTTGACACCGGTTACTGGGATGAGTCTGTTCCATTTGATCTCAACGCATTCGGATCCCCGACCTTGGCTCCGTTCGATCCGATGTCACCCCAGTACCAAGGTACCCGGAGCGTACCTCCAACACCACAGCAGCTTCCGTAAACCCCCAGCTCATGACTACGACTACTGAACCCTCACCTGCTGGCACTGATGCCATCCGTACCCACATGAACCCTCCATTTCACCAAGTGCAAGTCCCTGTTCCCATGAAACAGCGACTCCCTCTCGGCGCAACTCGACACCGCAGCGGATGCGACTACCATCCTCAGTGATCCTGACGCATATCCCTCCGGTGACGAACAGCGCTTCTCAACTGATGATGAACATTTCTTGGAACCCACGATACCTTCAAACCTGAAGTCTCCACCTCCTGTACAGCCATCTGCCGACAATGATGATGAACCCGACGTCGAGGAATTTCTCAGCGACCACGAATACGACGACGAATACATCGCGAGCGATGTCACCGCTCTGACACCCCGCGCGTCTCGCCTCTATTCTGCCACGGACGATGAAGACGATGCTTTTGACACTGCGATTCGCAGCAGCCGTACTACCCCCCCCCCAAGAAGCACTGGCTGAACAGGCAGCATTGAACCTCGCGCGAACTGTCAATCTACTGATTCAGTTCATGATATTTCCCCAGACAAGCCTGCTGCGAGATCTCTGCCCGAAGTCCAGATATCGACGATTGCCTCGACCAACTCTTTTGAGACCACGGCGGTTGCCTCGGTCAACTCCTTTGAGATCACGGCCGACATATCTCCTGTCGAACTGTCCAGTTCTCCTCCCGCGACTCCCAAGATTGCGAATACACAACCGGATGCCGCTGATGACAACTCCATCCTCGACTACATGATCCCCGCCACTAGTACCATGCCTTCGCTTGTTGCTCATGCCATGCCCGGATCATCCATGATGCAACGCAAACTCGCCACCGTCCCAACCTCCATGTCGAGTCCGACATCGTTGCAGACGCTTCGGGCGAGATTGCTCAACAGTGGAACAAAGTTGCTTCCACTAAGAAAGGGAAAAAGAAGTCGAAGAAGAAGAAGAAGAAAGCTACCTGCCCTTCTACCAGTAACATCTGTGCCGAATTGTTCGCTCCCACCAATAAGGAATCTGACTCTTCATCCTCTTCTCCCACATCCTCTGAGGGTTCCAACTCCAAACCCTCTCCTACGCAGGATTTTGCATAGGCCGGAACCGTACTCCTTGTACGGCTCTACAGGCCATCTCACAAAGGGCAAATGAAATATACATCGGGACACATGACCAGGCCACTACGGCAGTGTCTTCCGTTCCTTATGGTCAACCCCGCGCCATTTACCGCTACACCGTGAATACCAACATTGTCCGCAAGAACGATCGAGGTTCGCTCATGGATCGCGGTGCAAATGGTGGCATCCTTGGTTCAGATGCCCGCGTCACTGTTACTCATCAACGGCAAGTTGATGTCACGGGCATTGACAATCCCGAGATCAATGGTCTCAAGATTGTTGATGGCGCTTCCATTCTCTCCACTCAGAAGGGTCCTGTCATTGGTATCTTTCGCCAGTATGCTTATCATGGAGTCAACCGTACCATCCATTCTGCCGGCCAGTTCGAACACTACCACAACATGGTGGAGGATCGATCCTTCCGCGTTGGAGGCCACCAGTGCATACGTACCAATGATGGCTACATTCTACCGCTCGACTTCGTCAACGGACTGCCGTATCTCCGCATGCACCCACCTACCGACGACAAACTCGCGCAACTTCCCCACGTCATTCTTACTTCTGGAGCACAATGGAACCCTAAAGTCCTTGACTACCGTCATTCTGATCACGATGATTGGTACAACCACATCATGTTGGAATCTGATGACACACCTGTGACTTCCTTTGATTCTACCGGATCTTATCGTCACCGTACCCCTCATCAGGACATCAATCCTGGACACAATACTCGTATTGACGAAGATCCCCTCCGTATCAATCGAACACAATTCCTTCAGTCTTTCTGCATCTCGTCGAACCTCAACCAGGTCTACGCATGCTTCGATGCCGATGTTACCAACACCGATGAGACTACCGTCCCCACCATTGTCATCCCTCCCGTTGAAGTTGCACCCAAACGTATTGATTACTCTCAGTACCTCCCGTTCTTTCTCCATGTACCTGTTGACAAGATACGTCGTACCTTCGAAACCACAACACAGAACGCTCAGAACGTCATGTCAGGACATCACATTCAGCAGACTATTCGTTCTCCTTTTCCGGCACACAATGTGTGGTGCCGAAATGAACCTGTCGCTACCGACACCATTACTGGTGCCGTTCCTGCCATTTGTTGTGGACATAAGTATGCACAGATTTTCGTTGGTCGGAAATCGCTTGTCATCGATGTATTCGGGATGTCTACCTCCTCACAGTTTGTCAACACCTTGGAGGACGTCATCCGAATCAGGGGAGCAATGGACACGCTTATCTCCGACAGTGCAGCATTGGAAATCTCAGACCGTGTCAAAGAACTTTTGCGCACACTCTGCATCGATTCTTGGCAGAGCGAACGTAACTACCAACATCAAACTTCGCGGAACACCGATGGAAACATGCCAAATGCAACCTGCAGTGGATCATCAACCATTGCAACGTCGACAGTGAAGCTTGGCTACTGTGTCTGGAATGGGTCGGCGATGTCATGAACCTCACCGCAGAGAAATCCATTGGATGGAGAACACCGCTGGAAGTACTCACTGGACAGACACAAGACATCAGCATACTACTGTCGTTCATGTTCTGGGATGTTGTCTACGTACCACGGTACCACGGCAAACACTACTCCAACATGCCAGGAGAGCAAAAGTCCTCTGAAATACGAGGCCGCTTTGTTGGCTTCGGCAAACACGTTGGACATGCCCTTACCTTCAAGATACTCACGGACGACACGCATCGCATCATCCATTGATCACGAGTTCGACTCGCGAAGGAAGGTGTGAACAACCTCAAACTCGATGTGGAAGCAGGTGCTGACACTGAGGAATTTATGCTCAGTCTCTAACCAACTTATTAATGAAGCATTTATTTAAGCCTTTTCTACCAAGGCTACACAAAAACTAGTGACATAGACAAACACGATTTGATAAACGCAAACCACAATACTACTATTTTACTATAGGATTGTACCATGAATTGTAAACATGTTACAATATTCCTGCCTTTTATTACGCCTTGAAACGCCTTCTCAGAACCGGCATGTGTCAAGAACTATTGAAACATACACTATTACTATACGATTGGACTCAATATAGGATTCGAAATACAGGCATATATCTTCAGGATCGCCCCTACTAACGCCTGTGCAGGAAAGAGGATGTCTCGACACAATAAAGACATAGGATAAGAAATGCGAATCCAAAATAAGAACGCCTTTGCACCCCTTAGTATTATTTACTATATATATCTTTGTACGATTCTTCCCACATGTGCAATCACAAATTGGTACTGTTCTACTATACGTATTCGCTCTGTACAGGATTCGTGTTCCGTTTGGCGATTACACGGAACACGAAAGAACTCGATGTATGTTTCAAAGGTCACCTTTACTTAAGCCTATGCAGAATTCGATTGGTTAACACGAGATATAAGGTCGTTAGTTCGAATCCTGGATACCTACCTTTTTGCACCCGTAGCATCTTTCACTATATGTATTACTGTACGCATCTACTGACTAGTGCAGTCACGTGCTCTCGAACGGTGTCATTAGTCAAGCTATGATATAAGTAATTCGAGTCCTGCATATCAACACATTTACACGCTTTAATGTGAATCCTTCATAGGACCATTTACTATATAAAGTACTGTACATTCTTACCAGATCACGATTCAGCCAATGCTGCATAGGCCTGTGAGAAGGAATTTCGTACCGTTCATGCAAACCACTGTGCGAATCTATAGTAAAATAGTAGGATTGTGCTTTGTCAACACTACATGGTACTCTACGGTACCTCACTAGCTAGCTTGCTGGCTACCTTCTTTACTCGCTGGCTATTACTAGACCTACTAGTAGCTAGAACCGATACCTGCAGGTTTGATGCCCTTCCTCTTTCTTTATCTCTAACCTTTGTATTTCAATAAAATAATTTTATTCACAAAATCCATGCTCCTCAGTGGCTCCCCATAGGGTCGTTATTCCCGAACGCATCTACGTGAGCTCGAAGCAAGACAATGATGGCGAAGGCGCACGACTTTCCACAATCGACATGAGCCAAAGTCCATTCGACATCCCAACGCCAATGGAAGAAGGGGAGCAAGAAGAACTCCCCCCTAATCCTCCGTCGCCTATGGACCAACCTCCATTATCCCAACAACCGGAAGTGGAGACTGTCAATGAAGACGACGAGAACCTAGCGGATCATGTCAAAGACAGACGGCAACCAGGGGAGCCGAACCGTAATGACGACCCACTAGACCTCAAGTTCGACTTCATGCACAAGGAGAACCCAACCGTTGAAGGACTTCCACCGGAAGAAATGCTGGATCGTACCTTCCTCATGCCTCCCGCAGAAGATGGCACTCGAGTCAGAGCCAAAATCATTGAGCGAGTCGACAACACAAAGAAAAATTCCAATAACACCCGGACATGATCCGATTCAAGTGTCTCGTCGTTGACGAGTACGAAGAAGTGGTTGCCTACAATGATGTCGTGGACTACATCGAACAGGACCAAACATGGGATGGGGTCTGGAAGTTCCGACAGATACTGGATCACCAAGGACCTTTACTCCCGTCTAACAAGAGATACAAAGGATCGCGATACAACCTTCAAGTAGAGTGGGAGGTAGGGGAGATCACCTGGGAACCTCTTACCAAGAAGGACAAAAGCGGTGTCTGCGACTCAGACCCTGTTACGGTGGCCATCTATGCAGAAGAGAAAGGACTACTCGACACACTAGGGTGGAAACTACCTGGACTCAAGAAGTGAGCCAAGACCCAGAAAAGAATCATCCGATTCGCTAATCAAGCGAAGCTACACTCGTTCCGAACCAAACCCGTGTACATGTACAGATTCCTCGTGCCACGCAACCATGAACAAGCTATGGAGCTCGATGCACTCAACGGCAACACCAAGTGGAAAGACGCCGAAGAGAAGGAGCTATCACAGATCGATGAGTATGAAACATTCCTGAACAAGGGGAAATGGTACAATCCTGGACCCGACTGGAAGAAGATACGAGTACACATCATCTATGCTGTCAAGCACGATGGACGCCACAAGGCACGACTCGTTGCCGGAGGACATCTCACGGACACACCTGTCGACTCTGTCTACTCCAGCGTGGTATCGCTACGAGGGATTAGACTCCTTACGTTTCTAGCGGAATTGAATGGATGTGAAGTATGGGCAACCGATGTCGGAAACGCTTACCTTGAGTCTTACACGAAGGAGAAAGTGTACGTGATCGCAGGACCCGAATTTGGCGACCGAGAAGGATGCACGCTGATCATCCCGCGAGCACTGTACGGACTCAAGTCATCCGGATTACGATGGCATGAACGCTTCGCAGACGTCTTACGCTCCATGGAATTCTTCCCGTCAAAGGCCGAGTCCGACATCTGAATGCACGACAAAGGAGACCACTACAAGTACATTGCCGTGTACGTCGATGACCTGTTGATTGTCAGCAAGACATCACAAGCCATCATCACTATCCTCGAGAAGACACACAAGTTCAAACTCAAGGGAACAGGCCGCCCTATTGAATTCCACCTCGGATGTGACTTCTTTCGTGATGATGATGGAGTGTTGTGCTATGCACCCCGAAAGTACATCGAGAAAGTACTCGGGAACTACCAACGAATCTTCGGACAAATGCCACATCAGGCTTCGTCACCACTGATCAAAGGTGACCACCCGGAGATCGATACCTCAGAGCTACTGGATATTGAGAACCAGAAGATCAACCAGTCGCTCATCGGCAGCCTGCGATGGGCGGTCCTGATTTGGCGCTTTGACATCAGAACTGCCGTGATGACACTGTCACGATTCCGCGCTGCACCATGGCAAGGACACCTCGACAGAGTCAAACGAATCTGAGGATATCTCTCTAAGAGGCGTCATGGCATTATACGCATCAGGAAGGAGGAACCTGATTACTCGAATATACCCGAAAAGAAGCACGACTGGGAATACTCGTGCTACCATGGTGCAAAGGAATTGCTACCTGACAACGCACCAACACCACGCGGCAAGCGAGTACAGCTCACTGCCTACGTGGACGCGAACCTTTATCATGATCTGATTAGCGGACGTTCCGTCACCGGCGTCCTACATCTTGCGAACAAAACTCCTATTGACTGGTACACCAAATTACAGTCTGCCGTGGAGACTGCCACATTCGGTTCCGAATATGTCGCCGCAAGAACTGCTACAGAACAGATCATTGATCTTCGCAACACCATGCGGTACCTCAGAGTGCCCATTGAGACGTCTACTATGATGTTTGGAGATAATGAGACAGCCGTCAACACTGCGTCAATGCCTCATTCCAAGATCTTGAAGCGACACAATGCACTCTCGTACCACAAGACACGGGAATCTATCGCTGCAAAAATTCTCCGTTTCCACCACATTCCAGGGGAGCATAACCCTGCCGATATCCTCAGTAAACACTGGGACTATTCGTCGGTTTGGTCACAGCTCCAACCCTTATTGTTTTGGAAAGGAGATACTGCGAAGATCCTCCAGACTGAGAATAAAGAAGAGTCGAAGGTCGCCAACGAGGGGAGTGCTAACGAGGCGTTTTCTCCCACGACTCAGAAGACCAGTGACTCGCCCCAGTTGGAGGTCAAGGGATATAGTTCATGAGTACCGGAAGAGCGCGCATAGTCTGCGCAGCGTATTCCACACTGTGGTCCACGATGGATGCACCGTGGTCCCATTTAGCACTCATGTCTCGATCCTACCCGAGTCGAATAGGCGCCATGTTTGAACCAAAAGCCGATGCCGACTTGCGCTGTTCCGTTTCTATCAGTCCGAACCTTGACAACGAAACCCAATAGACTTGATAGATTGTAATGCTCATAATATTCTCTTTTACTGTTTGCCATTGCATGTCTTCCAAAGGTCTAGTCGAAGCAAACCACGCTACGACGCCAACCCAAGGAAGGGAGATTATCACTTACGAAATAGGATTTCAGCAAACAGCACCCAGACAACCCGATGCCGGTCGCGCTGTTCTCAATGAAACACTACGGCAGAGTCGGCGAAATCTTCCACCAATGCCGCGACCATTCCAATGCCATGTACCGGTGTATGCAACAACAGCTGCTCCAACGCTCTTTGGCCATCCCAACACATTGAATATTGAAGTCACTGTGCACACCATCAACACAACAACACCAACAATGGCCAATGCTGAGAGGATAGTCGCTCCTTATCAAATGTTGCTGCCTGCCATACCAGCGACTCAGCCAATCATGCCAGCAAGGAGGGTTTTCAAGAGCAGAATGTTTTGTGTTGTTTGTGGTTGGAGGAAGGTGGAGCACACCAAGGATGAAGGCAAGGGGGGAAGAGACAGGAATGGCAATAGCAAATGCAAGAGAGACTTCTGTGGGAAGTGTTTCAGACTGAAGCAACACCACCCAGACCACAAGATGGGAGAGGATTGCGCCTTTGCCACCAGTCCTCATTGTGTCAGGAATACAAGTGCATGGTATTGGTAAGTTGACTACTATTGTTTACTTGGTCACTAATTGGATAACAAACAGCAACATTCTCACAGTTGCTGCTTCCCTCTTTGCTTCTTTTCTCTTTTTATCCAGAGCTGCTAATGGAGTCTGGCCCATCCAAGATTGTTGCAATGGTGAAAATTCCATGAGTCTCAATATGGGCAATGCAGCTGCTAGTAAAATCCTCACTCATGCTAGCCATTGCTCTGAAGGAGAATGATGAAATTGGGTAAGTTTTGTCAAACCATTTGTCCCAGTAATCACAAACAGCATCAGCTTCAGGAGAAGAATGGTGGAAACTTGCATGCGCCATCTCCACCACTAACCAATAGATGCACTCTTTGAAAATAGTCTTTCTTTTCAGAGTGATGTGAGTGTCAACCATATTGGCAAGGGTGGAAAGTACAAGACAATACCAGTCAATGCTCTTCTCCATTCCCCAAGATCCCATTGTGTCAAGGATTTTTGTCATTTCAGGAGTTGTTGGACTGGCTCTTCCACTCATGATGAGCATCTCCAACTGAGCAGGTTCAAAGCATGTGACTGGTACACAAATCAGTGTACTTGTATGGTAGGTGAGATGCTGGGATTCTGCTGATTCCATGATGACATATTCCAGTTCATAGCTGTGCCTGGTGGCCCTCAACTCATTGTAAGGATAGGCATTAAAGTGTAGCAACCACCTTGAAAAAGCAAAACTAGCATTGATCCTCATTGTTTTGTAATTGTAGTAATAGCCAGCACTGTTGCCTTGTTGCCGTTTTAATGACTCGACTTGATTCGAACCTCTACGGAAAACCAATGACGACGCTAGAGGTACGACGCGGCAAAATCCCAATGATTCGCGCCTCTGCAGAAATTGTGAGGACAACGGATGCCAAATTCAAACTGGTACCACGCACCTCACCAAATAAGTCTCGTAGTCTTGTGAGACAATTTTGGCGACATGTGCTGACACATGGTCGTTGAGTTCTTACCAGATCTTGTATCGAAATTTGTACTCTGATGGCGATACCCATATTTGTCCACCCCTGTTTGTGGCATGCAAAACGAGGTTGAAGCCAGCTCAAATGTGAGACACCATGTCGGTGTCTACCCGCTGTCATTCCATTACCGTGCCCCAAGGTTTGGTCGGATCAGGATAACAAACTGGGGAGCAACACAAGAGCCAAAGGGCTTGCATTTATTTGGATGCACGGAGACAGAAATGAGTGGCTTTAGCAAGGCAAAATAGATTCACGTTCCTTGGATCTCTAGCTAGCTAGCCAGCTATGGATACCGCGCGGGACAGCCGGTACGTACCGGTTCGGCAGACCTCATATTCCGTTTCTTGGCATCAAAAGAGTGAGGAATGTGCATGTACTGGTGTGCAGTTTCTATTTAGTTTTACAAAGAATGGGAGGGCTAATCTACCTCATCCAACAGTGTAAATTGTGCCCACAACGGCAACAAGACATCCAATAACTACCATAATCCAGTCGGTCAACTTTTCAAAGAAGCCTAGTTTCTTGCCAAACATTTTTAAATGTGCTGCCGCTGGGAAGATCACGGACACACTCATCGTGCAAATCATACCCACCAAAGCACAGACAAAACTGAAGGAGGGTACGTAAATGGCGACCACCTGGAAGGTTTGCATCAAGCAGTAAGAGTGAGTGTGGGAGCATAGACAAACGACTGAGACCGCAACTCGAGCTCTGTTCCCCGACTCACCAGTGCCAGAACTGTCAAAATAAATTTGATGGTGGAGGACGCAAAGCGCACGAAAAGGTGACTGGACAGATAGGGGGCACAGATTTCTTCCATTCCAAGAGCAAGTGGGTACATTGTCAAAATATACTTGGAAAAGGACGTCAAAATAATCAACCAGGTCAAAATTTTCATCACCAGAACTGCAGACGAGTTTTGCTCCAGTGAAAGCGTCACTTGGTCCAAAACAGCATCACCAAACATATAGTAACCACTGGCTCCCACTGCAAGGCATGCACAAAGCACGATCATGAATGTCAAATCAATCATGCGCTCAAATTCTTGTGGCTTTTGCATCGATGTATAGATGGAGGGGACAATGGCGTGACCCGAGAAGCAGTATGCAACCAAACCCATGGCAATTGGCATCCCAGAATTATCCCAGACATGATGCATGGACTTGTGCTCGTTGGTTGTCGTTGTTGCTTCTTGCAAAGACCTGGCTGCAGCCTCGGCGGAGATGTCTCCTTCAAAAATGGCAGCAATGACCACTGTCAGCACCACTGCAATTGTTGAAAAGGTCCCAATCGCACTCAGGTAAGACAGAAGTCGAGGGGTACGTAGGACAACCGTAGGAAGAATGGTGACGGCCGCCACCACAACCATGTGTTGATTGGTGGACCATACGGGAAACATTGTGTGCAAGTGATCCCCAATACTGATCAAAAAGATACACAGGCAGGAAAATAGCTCAAAGTACAAGACAACCGAAAGGAAAACACATCCTGCTTCTCCAAAGGATGCCCTGGCAATGTCTGGGAAGGATTTTATAGGTGGTAGCATTCGAGCTGCCGCAGAGGACCCTGGCGGCAGAGGAGTTTTGAAAGGTGAATCATCAAAGTAACTGGCTGGCCTGGGATCTCCGTTCAGTTCTCTTCCAATAATAATTGATGTCCTCCATGTGATAAGACCAAGTATCAGAACACAAAAAATGCCGCCACCCCAGCCGGCACTCTTTAGAGAAAAGGGCAATCCTAGAAGACCAACACCCTTCATGGCGATGCAAAAAAGGAAACCCTCTCAAATTAGAACTTGAGGCAATTTGAGTAAAAGTGAGCAATTGAGTGCCAACGTACCATGAGAATATTGGCCATATTGAACACTGCCTGGCTGAATGTAGATTTCTCTTCCAGGGAAATCTTGTCCTTCTTTGCCTTTTTGATACTCTTTTCTTTTTTGTAACCAGGAGACAATTGAGCGCCTTCTTCCTGCTTTGCTTGCAATAGCTTCTGCCGGTAGGCTTTGGCTTCCATGGCTTTTTTGTTTTGCTCTTCTTGAGTGTCCAACAGTGGCTTTATGGGTTGATCCACTGCATTGTACTTCGATTTGAAGTCGAGACTTTGTACCTTTTGGACACCTTTTTGAAAGTCGTTGGCCGCGCGTTGTCCTGGTGCCAATAGAGACGATTGTTCGGGTGTCAGATATCCTCGCTGCGCTCTTCTGCCCGATAATGGGGTACCGCCTGGTTTGGGACTTCTTGTAAAGTGATCAGCTTGCGGCGCTGTAATGACTGGACTGGCCAGCAATGAAATCGATCGTTCGAAGGTGGATGGCCATGGTTTTTCCATTTCTTCCACCAGCTGGGAAACCTCACTGTTGGGAGACTCTGTGTTGGCGTCACTATCGGCGCCGTTGGCCTTGTGAAGACCTGCCTCCAAGTTTTCGCTCATGTTGTGTCTTTCTTTGGGTTAAAAATGAATTGAATCATACGATTATAGAGCAAATCCAGGAGATGTCAGAGATCAGAGAATAACAAAGTCGTTTCGAAAGGATGAAATTGAACGGGACAAAGAGGTGCTCTCTAATACGTTACTGAGTATTTGCAGAGCTTTCTTCTATTCTCGCTGCACTGCCACGCCCCGGCACTTGTCTTTCTTTTGGACAATTGGGTTCTCTTTGAGATTGATCTTCCGCTCCCGACAACCATCAGTTTCACAGTCTTCCGAATCGAGTTGGATCTTTTTGCGGTCTGGAGTCAGTCCTTCAAGTCCCGAGTCGAAATTGCGTTCGTTCTGGGCGTCGGGGACTAGTCTAGTACCGGTACTCTAGCTAGCTAGTACACGTACGGCACCGGTACCGGTACCAGACTGGTACCGGTACGAACCCACTGGCGACTGTTTGGTTAGCAAAGGACTTGGCAGCGTGCAACACCTCTCAGAGTGTCTCAAAATGGCAGTACAAGAACAAGAACGACTGTCTCTGAGGACCACGGGATGACGAATGGGATCGTTCAGTTTAGTACGGACTGTTTCCGTGGAGCCGTAGCTCAGCTTCTCCGGATGTGGGTAGACAAACATCTCTGTGATTTTTACGTAAATACTCGCCTACGACTTGTCAGTGTATGAATCATAATAAATTTTTCTTTCAGCTTATCGACTAGATCACATGGATCTTGGCGCTGCCGAAGATTGGATGAGATTCGTCAAAGCCTCCCTAAGCGCCCATTAAACTGCGTCTGGTAGCTCTACAGGCTTTACGCTTCAGTTTTACTTCTTGTCTTCCGTGAAGACAACCAAAGTACCGGTACAGCTGTGCTTGGCCCAGCTCTTGGCCCTGAGCAGAGAGGGTACCCTCCTTGATGTAAGTGCCAAAACGAAGCACTACTATACTCGAGGAACCGATCTGCAGTGTAGGATTGAATCAATCCAAACCCATTGACCGAATGAGCACAGCGTCCGAGCGATGGTAGGCTTGCTTCCCTCATACTACGGTACAGCAGCCAACACCAGCCAACTGCCTCTTTGGGGGCTGGAGTACTTGCAGCAAGGCTTACTCCACCCGAACTTGGCTGGCTGTCACGGGGGCCATTGAATATGCTTCAGCTTCAGGAGCTCCACAGCCAGCCGGCTGCCACATAGAACAGGACCTGGCCACTTGCGCATACACCACAACGTAAATGAATTTTCGAATGGAGAACTGCCGCTTGAAGTGAAAAGGATTGGATTCAGACGGTGGGACAGCCCAGAATGAAGAACCAGGTGATGGCTCTCGTGCCCGGCGTTCCTGTGCGGGGATTGGGCACCATCTCCTTGATCCATCAGTATTCATCAATGAGCTATCAATGCTACCACGTTGCAGCTCTTGGTGATGGCCATCTTCTGTTTGGCTGTGTGGGTCTTCTACAGGTTCCGTTTATTGAACGTGGCAGAGGTCTTTGACATGCAGCTTCTCTCGCGGCATTGGTGCCCATCTCACCACACAGAAGATTTATGCATTTATAATGCAGATGTCTTTCACGAGTTGAATCCTCAATACTGCTTCATCCATGCTTTGAAAACAGAAGACACATGCGTCATTGATGGCAAGCTGATGCTCATCAAATTGTGTCCACGCTATCTCTGATTGGTCTGACCAAGCAACAGCTAAGACAACGTGGCCTTGGCCTCTTTGAAGTTGGGAGATTGATGGGTAGCTTGGCTACAGGGATTTGTACTTGTATGTTGGATGTTCGGAACTGGTAGTCACCTTCATATCAAGCTATGCAACTGTTGCGGCAACAGGAAGTCAACTGCCAATGAAAAGTAGTGGGAATTCTGACGTTCGGGCACTCTCCCACCAGGAAGAGCAACACGCAAAGCAACCAGTCGTAAACAACCCATCAAAAGAGATTGAATCATTCGACGCGCCTCCCACAGACCTCAAAGCTCCCTTACCAACTCACCAAAGGCGAGAACAATCGAATCCTTTTCGTGCGACATTTATCTGTTGGTCTTGCTTTGAGCAGTTCATCATCATTATTTCCAACATACATAATCGACCATGCCGCGCATCCTGAGCACCAGCCATCTGCAGAACCGTCGGAGACGGAGTTCCATCGGATCCAGCAGCTCGAGCTTGAGTATGAGCTACTCTGATTCTGGCAGGATACATCAGTCTGTTCTCTCCGATTGGTTCAGCGTCCTCGTGGGAAATAGAAGCGTCAACGACTCAAGCACCAAGGCCTCCTCTTCTCCCAAGGAAAGCAAGGCTACCGCTTCTTCGGCATCACCGTTCTCGTCTCTGTCATCTTCCGGGACAAACACACCGTCTGTCCTCGGTGACCAAACTCCCATCCCCATCAGAAGCAAGCCCCGCCGCCAAATCATCCCTCGTCGATCGAGCACTGGTTCCACCACCGATGACAGCTGGGGTCAGTTTGTAGACACCGCTGAAGCCGAACGAGAGCTGATCCGACACAGCCGAGTCCTCTCCAAGAGGGAACTACCAAGGCATTCCATTTGCTACTGATCATGGTTACGTTACTTGTTTGTATCTACCGTACCGTATTGTGACCGGATGCAATAATCCACACGTCCACCCGCCAACCAAACCTTCTGCGCACGAGCTATCCCCGACATGCACACACTGATTAAATCACGCTTGCTACCACCCGCGCTATTGCTGTATAGACTTGCTAATATCGTAACTAATTCGACACTATCCGCTTATCACCATACCATGTCTATTGATAGACTAATTCAGGTTGATCATCATAGCTGGCTGGCCGACAAACCAGGCAGCAATGACAACGCATACACGTGTACCATGTCTTTCGGGGTAAAAGGAACGCTGAACAGATCTTTGGTACCGTACCTTGGCAGCCATACTATGTTCTCTTCAGCCATCCTTACCACCGCGGAACATGGGTATAACGTATTAGTGGAGATCTAAATGGTCATTTGAAGCTGCATCATGGCATGTTTCATAGTTCCCATCCGTCATGTTGTCGCCGACTGGCGCCACCAAGGAAAATTGCCCCAGGCCAGCCAAACAAAGGGAATTCTGTTGATCCATATACCTCGTGCTTCCCATCAGGATTTCTTCCAAGGGCAGGCCTGAGATTGGTACTAGTAATGCCTGCGGGACAACTGCAGTTTCCTGTTTCTGCCGCGACGACAAGGTACCCTGCCGGTACGGTACCGTACTGGTAGACTTGCTGTGATGTTTCGCTTTGCTGTCGGCCATCATCCTGCAAGATACAGCCACGAAACTGCGTCTGTGAGAGTGGATCCATCGATTGAATCTTAGGTCGCTTGTGCGGCTTATGGGAGGTTAAGCAGCAGCAGCAGCAGCAAAACCACTCATGTCATTGGCTTTCTCTGTCTTGTTTCTTGTGTTGATGTGTGCAGTTGCTTCCGATGAAGTTGCTCGTTTTGCTTTGGTACTGTACAATGAAGGATTGATGGCCCAGATGGCAGCCTGAAGTCATACTATAGCAGTACGGTGTATAGTAAAATGCAATCAGGTTGGATGCATGACATAAATGCAATCTTAATCAAAGGTGGATGATGAACTTGTTGGAGGCATTGGTGATTTCAGGTTGGCTGTACATACAGTACGTATACCGGCCCAAGAAGAACCGACCTGAAACGGGGTCCACGGTTGGAAGCGATGATAAGGTCCAATGGGATGCCACAGGTAGCTACCTTTCTTCTTCTACGTATTATTTGCCCCATACCGTACCGGTACTTATAATGGTAGCTGGGGGTCTAAGGAACACTATTGTACGTAGACTGCCTACTCCGATGGCTTGGCACAAAGCTTGGGGAAGGATCAGGAAAAAGCTGGACTCAAAGGGCCTCCATGCATCACATCAGCGATGGCTCAATTTGGATTTAGCTGTCAAATGCAATCGCTACCGGTATCGATAGCTTGCTAGGCAGAGATCCAAGGAACGTGAATCTATTCTGCCTTGTTAAAGCCTCTCATTTCTGTCTCGGCCGGTGGATCCAAACAGCAAGCCCTTTGGCGCTTGTGTTGGTCCCCTGTTTGTCCGCATGATCCCACGAAACCTAGCTGGTACCCAAGCTGGCCTTGAATTGGCAGCGGCCTCGACCCGACAAGGAGAAAACATTCGGGCATGCCTCACTCTGTGGATGCCACGAAATCTAACTTGAATGAGTTGTGGCTACCAGGTACTAACTAATAGTACATGTACTTCGGGGGTATTAATAGCTAGCGCCGGTACCGGTAACAGGTACACCTGACCTGTACTGGTATCAGTACCGTGCGGCACTGTACGGGTACAGTATCCCGAGGCACATACCGGTAGACGAAAAGAAGCCAGCGAAAGCTGCGATCTTTTTATGTAACCACTATTTCTTGCGAAGCAGTTGGTTTCAAAAGTCGATAATACGTTTCGCACACAAGCGAAGTCACAGCTGATAAGAATCTATTGTTGAGTTGCAATCTATTTCTTGCGAAGCCCGTCATTTGACACCCTTGGTTTTGCCTCTGAAGTGTGCCACAAAACAGAATGCCCAAACAGAAGAGTGTTCACAAGCAATCGTAAAGATGGGTTTCCAGAGGTGCTGTAATCTTATCTTGATGGTTGGGCTTCCGATAATGCTTTGCCAAGCTAGCTCAGCGTTGGGCTTTGAATTCCGCCGCATGGGCCCTTCTACCAGAGATCTCAAGAAGGTAATAAGACAAAGGAGCGTGAAGATGGCTGCAAATCCACCAGAAGAAGTCACTTTCCTACAAGAAGAGCAAGTGGATCTCTCCAGCGGTGTTTCTATGAAGGTCCTGTGGAGCAATTCTTCTAAGGCTAACAACAAGAAAGGTCCTCAATTGCCACCACTTATTTTCCTCCATGGATCATTTCATGGTGCTTGGTGTTGGTCTGAACGCTTCTTTCCCTACTTTGTGAGTCTTGGATATCATGTCGCTGCTTTGAATTGGCGTGGAACAGGAGGTACATTTGCGGGAGAAGGAGTCAAAAAGGTCAAAATGGAAGAACACGTGCAAGATTTGAAGGCCTTCTTGGAGGAATTCGTCCCATCCAAGCTACAATCAACAGAACTGAAACCCATTCTCATTAGCCACTCCTTTGGCGGACTCAGCATCATGAAGTATCTGGAGAAATATCCCGACAAGCTACAGGATATTGGTGGAGCAGTAATCATGTGCAGCGTGCCCCCTAGTGGGAATGGTCGCATGACAATGCGATTTCTGCGGCGTTCCTTGCGAGCAAGCTGGAAGATTACAGCTGGTTTGGCCATGAAAAAAGTAATCAAGGACCCGGCTCTTTGTCGAGAGCTTTTTTTTGGAGGTGCCGGCAATGATGATAGCGGAGTATCCGACAATGATGTCATTCGCTACATGGGCTACTTTCATCGGGATTCAGAAGCCACCATCGATTTGATGGATTTAGCCAAGAGACTCCCCTCTGCTCAGATCGATGATGACGGAAAAGCTCTGTTCTTGTCGTCACCAGCAGCGTCCAATGGGCACCCTCCATTCCTGGTTGTTGGGGCGACAGAGGACTTTATAGTGGATCAAGAAGGTGTGGATGAAACAGCAAAGTACTTTGGCCTGGAAGGTCCAGTCATGGTGGACTCTCCCCATGATGTCATGCTGGGAAAGAAGTATCAAAATGCAGCAGAGGTGATCCATCAATTTGTGGAAGAAAAAGTGTTGTGATGATTTATTATGAATAGGCCTACTAGCAGCTACATCCGCAGGAACACATCAAGCTGTTTCACTAAATGACATACTGTAGGTATACTTTATATCCATGTCTTCCATTTTCTGCCATGCTGTCCAAAGCATTCCTGAGCGAGAGACACTTAGCACTCTGGCCAACCAAAAGAAGGGACAAGAGCAACATGAAAAGAGTATAATAGATTGCTTTATCTTCACCTACCACCTGCGGCAATCAAGAGTTCCATAACTTCCTGGTGATCTTCACTATGACGGCCGTTTTCCGCGTAGAGAACATCACAGCTGTCTTTGGCATAGTCCAAGGCAGTCTTCCCATCATGCTGGAGGAAGGCTTTGATGACATTAACATAGCCACAATCAGCTGCATGATGAAGAGCTGTTGAACCATCGTTGCTCTTTGCATTGACCTTTACACCATCATACTTTAGAAATGTTTTTATAAGAGCGTCAACATTTTTATACCTTGCAGCACAATGAAGGGCAGTGAAGCCAGAATTCTTCTCCTTCAAATTGGCAACCACATCATCATGCTCTATAGGAAGACTTTTACAACATCAATGCATCCAAAGCATGCAGCCCAATGAAGTGCAGTCCAGTCATATTCGCACTTTGCATTGACATTCACGCTGACATGTCCGAGCAAGAGTTTGACAATGGCAAGTGATCCATCCATTGCTGCAGGATGAAGGGCTGTCGTCCCATCCCCACCCCTTGCATTGGCATCCACACCAACATCCAGCAAGATTTTGACTACGTCAACATGTCTATCCATCACAGCATGATGAAGGGCAGTGTCACCAGTGTTTGTCTTTACAAGGACATCCACATTTGCCTGCTCTAGCAAGGTTTCGACAACTGCAACGTGTCCATATGATGCTGCATAGTGAAGAGCAGTCCAGCCATTGATCTCCTTTGCATTGACATCTACACCAGCATTCTCGAGCAAATCTTTCACAACATCAACGTGGCCATATTCTACGGCAACAACAAATGAACCAGTGAATTCATCTCCATTGTCATAGTAGTAGCTGAAGGCAATTTGTTCCATCAGTTTATTTAAAACATCTAGATGCTGCGTAGGGGTCCGAGCCTCTGCAAATTCTGTCTCTTCCAGTGTTTTTTCAAGGTCGTCCATTTCGTCAGTGGGCTCTACACGCTCTTTTGTGGGGGTACCGTACTTTTCTCTGCTATGCCGGACAAGCTTCATTAAGCTTCAGAAACAAAATATGTTTGCTACGAGCTGAATGTTTCCGCCAAAAGAGAAATGATGGTCTTATGGCTTTGAAATGAAATGAGGGGTATCGGTTGCTTGCTGCGGGGAGACGAAGCGTTCAAACGAAGTTGTTGGGTTTTCGAGAGGAGGGCAACGGCACTTCGGAGTTCAAAGGGCGACTGGAGCAAGGTATCCACGTTCGCAGACCACGATGTCTTGCTTCCAAGAAGAAAAGTACTGTACCACAGTTTGTTTATGCCTTTTGGTACCGCATAAGGTGTGAGCAATGTACGCGGTGACACCATGAGGAGGAAGACAATGGCGGCAAACAACGGCAAACTCAATTTGTATCTTCTATAGTTTTTTTGGTAGCCTTTGAGCCATCTGGGTAGCCCCAGCTAGCCTCCACGTTCCACGCCGCCATAACGAGAAAAATCCAATAACAGTTAAATTTACCCGTTGACCCGCTCCCAAACTTATCCGTGACACATCTGCGACTCTACAGGATCAAACTGGTATCAGGATCTCACTGGTATCGGCAACATCTCAACTAAGCAAAGCCGACGCCGACCCAATGACAAGACCATCATTGACAATCGTATCCTCTCTGTTTCATTTGTCCCTCCCAACCCCGGGATAAAAGGACAATCAACACCCAACCCGAAGCAAACCATGTCGATTACTTTTGTCGATGACCGCGATGATCTGCTAGCATCGTCCGCTGACAAACAGAAGAATGACCTTTCCCATTTCAACTTCTTCCTAGAGACATACTGCACCCAGATTGGAATCAATGTTGTTGAAGCCGATGCCATTCCCTATCACGGCATTCCCCGCAAGTCATCCGAGAAAGCAATATCCGAGTTTTGGGATAAGCTTGTGGGCGCCTTCTTTTTCTACATGGGCACCTCAGCGATGTGCTACCTCAACCCGAAAGGAAGGAACTTTTCCTATCAGTCGGCAACCCAATATTGTTTGTCGGTCAAAGTCTTCTTCACCAACAAATTCAGGAATGAAAACCCCATCCCCATGTTTCAACCAGAGCATTGGAAGAAACTTCGGGACAATCTGCGTGGAAGGTACTGCGAAGGCAGCCGAGCATCAGGCAAACAAATGACAGAAGGAAAGGTCTCTAGTACCCACGAGGATCGTGAAGCAATGGCCACAGGATGCATCTGGCTTGGCACTGCAGACTCCGCTGAGTTTTTACATCTATTGAACACCAGCTACCATTGCAGTGGACGTGGGAGTGAAGTATCCCTTGTCACACCAGAGGGAACAACAGTGGTTGAAATCAACGAAGATGTCTACAGCTATCAAGTCCTTGCAACTGACGTCCAGAGACAAACGGACGGCCCCTTCCAAACCCTTCCAATCTACCCCCATCGCGACGGAGTCTTGGAAGATTTCTATTTCAGCCTGATTTACCTTGTGCACTTGTCGTGATGGTAGGATGCGGGAATGAATACATCTTCCCAAGATTCTCCAAGGCAGCATTGAAAACAAAGTCAAACAAATCCGACAGCAATGTCTCATCCCTCTGGTCCAGCCTCTTCGAAGAGCTAACCAACACCTTTGAATCCATGAGCGATCGCATCAATAACAAGCTATCCTCCCACTACAACAAGAAAGGGTCCAAGCAAGTCATGGCCGATTCTCCCTCTGTCTCCGGCCTAGCGCAGATCACCTCTTTAGAGGAGCTGACGATAGGATTGTTGATGAACATGGGATCACCCACCCGGCACCCGCCTATCCCAATGTTATCAGGTTCTCCATCAGCAGCAAAGGCCTTACAAGCCAATCTTCTGTGGCAGATGTCACCACTGCCTTCTTCACTGAGAACTACCAGTACGGTTACGAATTGGATTTGAAGGCTCCCTCTTGGAATGATGACTTGCATCAATCCGAAAAGAAGAAAATACGCAACCACTTTGGCACCATCAAGAAAGCCGTGAAGATGGTCTTTTAAAATGCATGCTGATTCCTTCCCCTCTCCCAACCCTGAAGGATCTTCAGAGTCGTGGAAGCAAACACTCAGGAGGACAGCAACATTGGCAGAGGAACGCATATGAAAAGAGTTTGACTTTGACAACAAGACCGTCAATACAATCTACAGGCTCAGCAAGCACCCTGAGTTTAACAGCAAAGCAACATCCCTGAAACCTCCAGCCAATACACCAGACGAACTCCGCAAGTTCTTCAAAAGCGATTAACTAACTGGACTATCCATCATTAAGCTAGTGTAGCATCTTCTCGCTCCACGGAATAACCAATCTCATTTCCCATCGTTTCTCTCCATTGTCATCCTTCTCCTCCTACTTTCGCTCAGCAACAGCGCGATCAAACTCCTCCTCCATTGGTATGTCCTTCCGCACTCCATCTTCGTCGTGTTGGGAACATTGCGCTTGGCACACCGTGGAAACCTTGTTGTTGCTTGTTTCTTGCTTCTATCGAGTTATGATCCTTTCTGCTGCTCGTTGTCTCACAACGCTCTGTTTCAGTGTGGTTTCTCCATCGTGTTGCACCTCTTTTACTCCCATTCTTCTCGGCCCTCATCGTCTCATTCATCGCTTTGACGTCCAAGCATTTAAAAGATACTGCACCAAGGAAAAAATTGCAGATATTCCCCAAGACCCAATTCCCGTACAAGTAAGTTCGTTCCACTTTTTTCTCATTCAATTTTGTATTCGATTAGTTTCACGCCAAATTTAGTCACCACCTAACGCTTAACGCGAGCGCGCCCACCTAGCCAGCGGCATGCAGTTACGATGCTCACGTCAACCCACTTTTTGATTCAACCTCATAATGGACCTCCAACCCTAGGTGTGGGTTGCCAATCGTGGCCGTTTCAGTTGGCATGTGTTGATTCGATTCTCACAAAATGGACCTTTGTCTGGCTCCCGCGTACCAAACATCTTGGTTGCAGCCACCGCAAAAAGCACAACACTTCTCCTCTTTCTGCCACATACAGTGACGGCTACCTCACATCATTCTACATAGCCATGAAGATTTTGTTTGGTACAACGTGGACAATAGTCCAGAGACCAGACTAGAAGTGGACGGAGAGTATGTGGACGATCTCGTCAAGGCAGTCATCAAGGAAGAGGAGTTGGGATGCAGGCCAACCCAAGTACGAGTTTTTCTGGGGAGCGATTCCGAAGAACCGGTGGGTCGAATGAAGAAGCTCGTTAATGAGGATACGGCTTACATATTCCATACATCTCACTACCAGCAGCACCTCAAGCGGTTGAAAGTGACTTTCAACAATTCCAAGTTGCCTTCCTCGCCACTGGGCGTGTACTTGCCACCAAGACTAACCTGCAGCGTGTTTGTATTCCATGAGGACTTTCTAAAAGAAATCAATTTGAATATTCAGGTCAGGCTCGATGATTGTGATACTGAAGATGGCAAAGTCCGCGTCCCCCCCTTGGCAGTCTCTCGTTGCAGTCGAGGGGGGAAAACAAGGACTTTGCTAGAGATTGCGAACATGATGTTTAAATCAGATGAAAGGCAAGAAGATAGTCTTGCGGTCCTGCTTATCACATTCAATGATTTCATGGGGCTGTCGGAAAATGAGAAAAAAGAGGAAAATATGTGTCAAGTATTTCTCAGACGCGTGGCCTTCATGGCAACATACAAGTCTGAGCGAAAGTTCCACAAAGAACGGGATATTGACATTCACAAAGCGTTCACAGATTTCCGAAAATCCAATTCATATTTCGACCAAGACATGTTTGTTCATTGGTTTAATGAATTTAATGGTGAAATCGTGTTAATAATCAACGAACTCAACAACTTGACTAGTCTGAGTGACAGGTCAAGAGAAGAAGAAGCGAAGGAGTTTGGTAGCCTCTTGAAAGAGAATTTTCTGTGTCAAACCAATCGATACTTTGTGTTCTCATCTCATGTCATCTCATCGGTCAGCACTTTTGGTGAGTGCATGCAGACGAGTGATGGCAGCTTCCAAGACGTTGTCCTGTGGGATCTCCCCCTCGTTCCGAACTTGAAAATGGCTGCTAAAATGTACCCTCGCATTTGCGGACCGAGAGAAGCTATCTACTAAGGTCTCCTCCCAGGATTGCTTTATCGCAAATCACAGCGGATTCCAATTGAGGGGAAAAGGGCTAATTTTGTGAAGGAATTCTGGAATGAGAACAAACAGGATTTGACAGCTGCGTTCGAGAAAACCTGCCGCTCTCTGATCATTAATGGATCTAGCGCTGACTTATCAAAGTTGGTCGAATTCTTGTGTGATGGTGTCAGTGTCGGTACCGGTGCTGGAGAAGGTCTGATTCGGTGGATCCCCTACCACCTCCAGTTTGTGATGGCATACTTTGGGGCCAACCACAGAGAATTGCACATTCAAGATCTCGCTGGCTCAATGGCCATGTTATGCAATCAAATGACTCTTGCGAAGGAAAAGTCTGGTGATGATTGGGAGGGCCTGTTCATCCTCTTTTTGCTGGCAAGATGCATCGCCAAGGAACCAGATGGCTTGTTCTTGCCAAAGACATGGCTTGGAAAAGACCCTCTGACCGGAGAATACCCCTTGATCGAATACAAAAACTACGACAGCGATCGTGTTAGTAGCGGCACACTTTTGGACCAGTGCACCACCTGGAAGGAGCTATCTGAGGGCATTGATCTCACAGAGAAGCCAACGGTTTCCATCCTTTATCCTAGTCACGCTCAGTTTGGAGCCTACGATGCATTTGTTGTATATTCTGTTGGGGATAAAAAGGAGGTCTACGGCTACCAACTAAAGGAGGGCGAAGCCAGTACAGACCGACCTGTTGAAGAATCTTTGTGAAAAAGTTTTGTTGTCAGGGGTGTTCCCACCACCAAATCAAACAAAAAATTCAGTGGCGCATTGCTTCAGACGAGCAGCTCAACACATTCTTTGGGCCATGTGGAAGAAATTGGAGTTTAAAAAATGGACGGAGTTCCTCCAACATGGAACAAGTGAATAACATAGTACTTGTATTTTGTTGTTTGCTAGTAATACTGCAGCTTATTGGGGAGTAATTTGGTTTTAGATTAAGCTGAAAAGCAAATGTGAGGATTTTCTGGTGGCTGACAGCAATTCTTGTGATTGAATTGGATATAAGGACCCCCGTAACACTTTAGACCTAAAACTCCCTCGGTTCCTTGCATCATGAATATGCATGCGAACCGGACTAGATGATTAATACACGTGCACTACGCTAAAAGCTAGTGTAAAGATCTTTCGAGTGTTTTGAGTTTGAGAGAATGAAAGTTATGAGAGGATTAGAAAGCTATGAAAACTAATCAATGAGAGAGATCCACAACCAAAGGATCGTAGATCTGAACTCCCGCGGGAGACTGTAGAGTGTGATAGAGTAGGTTGCGGTAGCAATCCTACTCACTCCACGATCCAAAAACGCACCAACAGGAAAGAACTTCGTGATTCATTGGACAAATGAACTACCAAGGGTGCTCCAAGACGCAGACGGAGTAACCATCGTTCTGAAACAGACGTGGGTTACCATATCCATGACCGGTCGCATGACAGAGAACGTGAGTCCCGCGTAAGGTCGAGAAGACTCTCCGGATGAACATGGACTTCGCCGCAATTCACGCGCGTCAATCGTGGCAAGACTCACCACATCCGTTTCAAAGCAAACCGGAACATGTAAGGAACTCGCCAACGACTTATCCAGAAAAACCCGTAAGGAGAACACGGCACGTTCCCTATCAACACCATGTCAACGATACTATGATGATTATCAGTATCAGAACGTTCGTTACGGTCAGCCAAGACAAAGGTCTTTACCACACAGACCGAGTCAATAACAATGGCACTGTCGGCTCCGACATACTACCCCCAGTGCGGCACAGTCTACCAGACTTGGAACATAAGGTATTACACCCATACAAGGCCTGATCCCCTGTGGATTGCCATCGTGCGACGCGACATGTCTACATCCAATCTCCGAGATGGCCCCGCACTTTAATTCTATGTTCTCCTTGTCCGACTGATGTCGTGCCTTCTGTGACCCTGTCAGGGGCGAATGCAATACACGGCTCTAGCCTTATTCGCGACTCGATCCTAGATAGGGTTTGAGTTCGACTCATGACTGAGTTCCTGAATAGTCATTGAGACAGGGTTCTCATGACGCTTAGTCATACTAGGTTGATGATGAAACATCGCTCTAGATATTTAGCAGCGTGGAGTACTTCCACGCTACTAGATAAATGCTAGACGAATCTTTCCACGTGTTC